GTTTTTGATTATTACTATTATAATTATTATATCCTTTAATTCTAAGAGGAACATAGGGCTACAGCTGCGCACCTACATTGCCTTCTGTTTCCTGCCAAATTTTTCACCCCGCTCTAAGTCTGCCCACATGCTTTCATCTCCTCTTCACTCACCTCCTCCAAGTCACTCTTGCACTGACGACCAACCCGCCTCTTCCCTTTGGGGTTCCACTCTAGTAATGGCCTGTCTAGTGATGTCACTTGATGGTTTGTTTCCTCAGAGTATGACCAGCCAATCCATATCCATTTCTTTCTGCCTATTTGCTGAACAATCGGTTCCTGGTTGGTTTGCTCCCAGAGATTCCTCCCTGTTGTTGATCTCTTCTGGCCGGCCATCTGATCTTGAGTATTGAGTGAAGACAACTGTTAATGTAGGTCTGTAGTTTCTTTGAGGTACTCTTTATGACGCGCCAAGTCTATGATTAGTATAGCAGCACTGACTTCACACTGGAGTTGAAAATGCGGATCTTATTTTTGGTGATGAGTGCTGTTGACCTCCTGCACACAGACTTGAGAGTAATGAAAGCTTGTCTTGCTTTTCCAATTCTGGCTTTGATATACTTATCAGTTCTGTCAGCCTGTAGTTGAAACGATGTTTCATAGGTAGGTGGGTAGGTACAGGAGGTTTTTTCTTTCAGGTTCCTCCCATTTATTCTGGTTGATTGTTGTCTGTTGTTGGTGTTGTTGCTGTTGGCCAGGAATCTTGAACACCTCTGTTTTATCCATGTTCACTTGAAATCCTATCTTTGATGCTTCTTCTGCCATCTTGTTGTTTTTCACTTGCATATCTTCCAATTTGTGGGAAATCAGACATATATCATCGGCGAAGTCCAGATCCTCCAAGTCTCTTTTTGTGTGAGTCCATTTTATGCCTGTTTCCTCACTGCCCATTGTCTGTCTCATTATCCAATCTACTGCAATCAGGAAGATCATTGGCGATAGCAGACAGCCTTGTCTCATTCCCGTCCTCACTTCGAAGGCTTCCGTAAGTTTCCCGTTGTGGATTACTTGGCATGCAGCATTGTCGTATAACTGTTGAATGACATGTATAATTGTCGATGGCACCCCGTAGTAGCGAAGTAGTTGCCAAATCGCCTCTCGATCGACGCTTTCGAAGGCCTTTTCAAAGTCAATGAAGTTGAGATGGAGAGGTGACTGCCATTCCAAGCTTTGTTCAATGATGATCCGTAGTGTAGCGATTTGATCAATACACGACTTGTTTCTCCTGAATCCAGCTTGTTCCGGTCGAAGATTTTCATACAGGTTGGCTTGTTTGATTCTCTCTTCAGGATGATGAGGCTTAGTATTTTGCTTGGGATCGATAGGAGCATAATTCTGCGCCAGTTCTTGCATTGGCTCAAGTCTCCTTTCTTTGGTAGTTTGAATAAGTATCCTTTCTTCCAATCCTCAGCTGAAGTGTATATATATATATATATATATATAAGTAAACCAAACACACTTTTTATTGACAAGTTAAACCAGATTAATATTTTACCATTCCTTTTGCATTCTGAGTGGAATGTAGGTGGCACCAAGCTTCAGAGTTTCCTTAGCAGTGATGTTATTGCTTTTTTATCCGATGGAGTTGCTAGTCTCACTCACTGTCAATCCCACCTCCGCCTGTTTTTCTGGCTTACTATCTATCATCCAGTAAACTGAGCGATGAAGTTTAGAAGTGAGTCGGCCGGGAATCGAACCCTGGACCACGTGATTGGTTGGTGAATATTCTACATGACTTGCCACATTCTGATGTAGCCACTTTTGTTAAGTATGCCGATGACCTCTCGGTCTCTATGCCTGTCAACTGTCAGTCAGATTGCTCCAAATTAAATAGCTTTCTGTCGGAAATTAGTCAGTGGTCCTCTTCAAACGGACTTAAGCTTAATCCGTCTAAATGTCAGGTAGTCAATTTCACCTTCAGACGTAAATGTGACCTACAGCAACTAGTTAGCTCACATGGCCCCACTCTCATTGACGGCACAGAGGTTGAAAATACATCTAATGTGAAGTTCCTTGGGCTGAGTTTTTCCACCGATCTTTCCTGGTCTTCCCACATCTTGCTAGTTACTAGAAAGATGTTTCGCTTAACGTTCTACATTAGGAAATTTAGGCAGTCTGGCATAAAGCAGCTTTTGCTTTCTCAATTTGTAAATTCTTGTATTCTACCCATCCTCCTTTACTGCTCCCCATTAGTCTTTCCTGGACTACTTAAGAAAGACTTCGCTTCGCTGAGAAGGGCACTAAAAGCTGTTAGTAGGGCAAGTGGGATATCGTTAGACCAACTGGTGAACACTATTGTAGATAGACATATAATGTCATGTAAGAAACTAGCGAATACAATATTGTCGGACCCCGAGCATCCTCTCTATACGCATCTATCTCCTTGCATTTCATCTGGAAGAACTAGAAGCAGCTATAGGAGGCTATATGCTAGGACTACCAAATACAAAAACTCCACAATACCATATCTGGCACAGCTGTTATGTGATGAGAAATCCGTTAGGTATGACACGATAAACTTACTGCGGCACTCTAACAAATAGTCCCATTAGTTTTTGTTTTCCTTTCCTCGTTACTACTACACTGTTGTTCTCATCTACAACCACACATTAACCTTATATTCCAAATCCTGTGGTGCATTGTTTGAAATGAAATACTCTACGCTGTTTTTTTTCTTAATTTTCAATATTTATTTATTTTATTTATTTATAACTTATTTATTTTATTTTTATGTATTTTTGATTTTTAAAAATCTCATATAATTTATGAGGTAATTAGATGCAATATACTGTAATGCACGCTGAAAATTCCATACCTGTACCACAAATACTGTTTGGAATAAAGCTGTTATTATTATTATTATTATTAGTGTTCATTACATGTTGTTGTTGTTTCTGTTTTGCCTTAACATTATTCCCAGTTTGATGAAGTAACAATTTGTTGTTGTTGTTGTGATTTCGTTTGTTTCCTCCCTTCCTCTCTTCCATCAATCAAAACTTGTTTCTCTCTGAGTGATTTAAAGCCTCATTTATTTTATTTAATTTTGTCATTTCAACGATAAAATAATTCAAAAGTTCTTTGTGCTGCTGTGAATATATGCTGCAATCTGCATGAGTGATTCCCATTTGCTGACATTGTCTTCCCCTTTATTAACATCCCCCTACCCATTTCTTTTTGAATTATGTTATAATGAATATTTTAAAAAGAAAGTTTTTATCACATTCTCTAACTAGTAGTGTGATATGCACAGTTTTGAAGAAATAATTTCCGATAATACACATAAACATTATTTACTCAGTGCACCAGGAGTTTTTTGTCAAGTTATTTATTGGCTTGCATAGACACAAAGATTATGAGTTCCATTCGATGATGATGTTCTGTGACAGTGGGCTGCACAGTCTCTTAAACACTACTCAGACAGAGAGGCCTTATCTGATAAAAAAAGAACAAAGAAAAAAGAACTGTCCATGTTTTTCAATCTGTCCTCAAGTCTAACAAACTGTGGGAACCCCCCCTTCGCCTAAAGGCAACATGTACAAAGGATTAAAGCTAGTTTCCAGACATGCAGTTGATTATTAAGTGGCTTCCAGCTTGTGTTTAAACAATCTCTACTGGATCCCTAAAATTAAACTGCATACTTTTACTACCGACTGTAAGCTGGTTTATGGATTAAACATACCAAGATGACTAACGTTTCTAGGTGTTTAGTGAAACTTTATCCACTAAAGCATAAAACTTGTAACCCTTAATTTAATAGATAGGGTATGAGAGGGTATGATCGTAACGAAGGCATTCTAGCTGCCCTGTTATAATTTCAATGTGTGATTGGGAATTTCGCCAGTCACGCTACCAATAACAACCACACCACACCACTACCTAAACACATGAAATCTTCGATTGTTTCCAACATATTGTCCGAGAAAAGGAAGCGCGGGAATAGGTTATTGTGATCTTTACCCAAACACTTCATACCTTGATAATGAAAAGCACGTGATATATTCATGGTCATAAATCGCCAGATGGCTCAGTGCGATTTAGCTTTGAAGTGAAGTTACTGAAAGAGATCTCTTTGCTGACTCATTTGCTTTCAGAAGTTCTCTGTTGAAGAGGTGTAGAAGTAGAAGAAGTGATGAAATGATGCAACTCTCACTCATGAGATTTAGACATACGGTGATGATATGTGTGTGTTTATGCTATCAGAGATCTTTTGTGGAGGGATTCGAAAATCTCAAACTCTTCAGAACTACGCTTTTGTGTCGGACAGTTGTAAAAGGAACCTTCTTGTTCAAGACATTGTAGTCAATCGTAGCATCAAAAAATAAGACTATTGTTGACCTGTTTTATATTTCTCGACATTCAAGCAAGTTTTTGCAAAACATAAACGTATGATCAATATATATATTTTGAACTTGAAGAAAAATCCAGCCTACATTTTTCAAAGTTGTTCCACACACACTTTACAAATTTTGTCAAGTATATAATATCAATTAGATACTTTGATAATATCAATAACATATTGATACGAAATTGATTATCACATATATTACATAAGCAAGCATGTAGAAATAATGCTTCCAATGAATCATACTCTTTGCGCCCCCTTGTATAGAATAACCCCTAGTTCCCGAAAAACAGAATTTTTCAAACAAGGGATTCAAAAGATCCACACATACCATAAAGTAAAACTCGAAACCAATAAATCATACCATCACGAAGTGGGTAATTATAGTACTGACCACAAACTATACTAATCATCATCACAAGGGTATCGATTTTTTCCCATGTTGAACAATTTTCCAATTTTTTGACTATGAAACTGAATTAGAAATAGCCGAAAATAAAATTGCATAACTAATTCTTCATCTTACTATTGATTTAAACTATTTCTTTTCATTTATCATAAAATGGCACTATATTTCTGTAATTTTTGTCTTTTTGTTGTTCTTTTTCCACTTTTTCCAGGCTTCTGGAGATCAGACTGAATCAGAACCAGATCATGTGGATCATGTTAACTGATTAACAATTTCTTGTCACTATTGTTATCATTATTATTACTATTATTATGATCATTTTCGACATAAACTTTACTATCAAAAAGTAGGATAGATTTTCTTTTCTACGCAATAAACTTTGATTAATTTTGATTTATTGAATTTTGAATTTCCGGTTTATTTTAAGAAGAAATTATTTTGATTAATTAATCGATTTACTGATTGATTGATTTTTTTTTGCATCATGTCATTTGTACTCTTTTTTTCTTGTGTTCTCCTTTCTTTCCATCATTTTTTCTTGTTTGTGTTTTTACTAAACATGCAAAAAAGTATATATTCATACAAATAAATCCACTGGAATGCCTAAATCAATATACTCATAGATATGAGAGTTTTGTGAATTTTTTTGGTTGAAAGAGTGTATATGTGCCATTGTGTCTCAATTATGGATAAGATTTTATTTTGATAAATCACACAGTGTTGTACAGTAATATTAACTGATGACGTTTCGAGCACAAACTATTTCTCATAATCATATCAGCTTGATATGATGGAGTTATTTGTAGACTGAGATACATTCCTGTGTGGTGTAATAAATGGCTCCCTGTACACAGACCACCAGAAGGTTTCCATATTAGTAGTTGACTTAACTCTCATGATTCGATCCTAATTTAACTAGCGAAATACGATCAGCTCAAGAAAAGCATGGCAGTCGTGCGATATGTCACGCATTGGCAGAAAACAGCATTCATGAACTGCTGGATTCTTTCCAAATAGCTGAATGGTAAACAAGTTTACCTGATAACCTGAAGGTCCCTGGGTCGATCCACATCTGTGTGCATCGGTGGCACAGTGGTTTGTAAATTACTTATCTTTTCAGGGTCAACCATTCTTCCCTTAGCTATGTTCTTATGTTCTGATAATCTGACTACCCCCGACCTGCTAGTTTGACCTACGTAGTTGACCACAATCACAGTCATTGCAGGGTAGTTTGTAAATTATATTATTTTGTCTAATTGGGTCAACCAGTAGGGTCCTTTAACCTAAATAGCTTGTCCCTGAGTGAGTTTGTAGGTTTAAATGCTATTCTAATTCCTGCTTTATTAAGAACCCTACGTAGGGTTTCACTCGTATTAATATTTCTGAATGTACATTATCTCATATTGAATTTTATTCCAATATCTAATCAATTCCACACATGTATATAAATGAAGGAAAAACGTTGTGTGAGTGAGTAACTTGATATGATTATGAGTAGCAGTAGTTTGTGCTTGGAACGTGGTTGTATCAGTTAATATTACTGTACAACACTGTAATTTATCAACTCCTGCGCCTAAATTTTATACTTATATCAGTGACATTGTGTCGTTTAATTGTTTGCCTATTGTTGTGATCTCAGAGGTTGAATAAAAGTTTTAAACCACCCGACTGATAGCTGATACTTTGATGTGGCGGTGGTGGTGGACGAGAGCTGAGAGCTTGCATATCACAAATACCCATTGAGCTACACAGGATAGAACTAATGTTTCTGTACATCCTACTGTCCCAAAGAGTTCGTGTGGAAACAGGTTAGACTAAAAAAATGATTATCGTTCAGTTTTATCAACGCATTCGTAATGCTGACAATAAAGCGTGTAAAATGTTCCTTTCAGATGGTCAGCTATGCTTCCTCTCCACTCTGAAGACAAAGATTGGCGAAGATCGATCTCATAAATTGTAAATCCTGAATTACTCTGTGTGGTGGCGGTCCGTGATAAGATCTTACTTAATACGGATCTAATTCAAAATCTACTACAAACAGACAGCCGTCTCTTGGGCTCTGTGGTCATACCCCATGTGTTTCGAGCACCCCACCCAAAAAGGTTCATGATGTGAACAGGTGAAAACGAGTAGCCCCCCCCCCAGCATGCACTTACGTAAACAAAATCAGTTAAGAGCAATTTACAGATGACTGTAGTCAATCTACGGTTTCCTGTAATTATTACTTATCACGGATTGATTCTGTTGAAGAGGAATACTTGTCCGCTGATGACACCATCCTGCAAATGGCATCATGTTAATTTTAAGGCATTATTAAAGAATTCGAACAACGAGAAGAAGAAATGACAAACAAAGACCAGGCATTTCAGTTGGTTGCAATGAATAAGTAACAACTGATACGCATTGTCGTCTAAGAGCTACCTCTCATGGCCTAGTGGATAGATAACACTCAAGCGTTTGAAGCGATGGGTGTTTGAATCAAGTACCAGTGAGAAGACATTTAGCCACCAGGAATGTGTAGATACACGCCCTAATGGACTTCACTGTCGGTCATCATCAAGCAAAACAACGTCATGCTGTCATTCTCACCAAAAAAAGTAGAATTTCTCGGAACGATCAATATTATATATAGTGGAATTATGCTAGAAGAGAGTTTAGGTCGACCAGATGATGAAGTCTATTAATGTTGGTTTAACTAAAGTATTAAAACTTTCGTTGTTTTGTTTCCCAACTTGGGAATTACACTGAAATAACATAAATCACAATGATGGAAATGTTTTCAAAATTTTTTTAATGATATTGATCCAATGATCTTCCTAAACTATGACTGTCCAGTGCTGCATGGTTTTCAATAGTTCTCTAATTGATATCAATCCGTGGTCTAACCTGATACTTTATTCTGTCCGTTGTAATGCCATCCAACTTCTGTTGTCATACTGTATTATAAAGTGTGCTAACCTGAAGTGAGTGACACTCTCTTGCTTAAGATTCTGCGTCGATCTGCATGTTTGGCTGGTTCAAATAGGCATCTAACTATACCTTCAATAAATAATAAATATATAGTGTTAATGAAATATAAATAAACTTTGTCGATGGGTGGTGACTGACAGTGGAATCCAGGACAACACGCATTTCCTCCTATTTGGAACTGGTCAGCTGGATGTGCTTGGATTCCACAGTGAGTGATGATGTTCCCACCCACTTCGGTCCAATCAACCGACGGGAAAGCCTAAGATTGAATTAAATAATAAATAAGCTTCATTTGCAATTTCAGTCAAAAAAGTTACTGCCACGCTTATTGATCGTCTAACTGATCTGAGTTTATGTTCAAAGGATTTTGTTTTACAAATATAATGCTTAAATAAGAAGTAATAATATCATTAGGATCGTGTCTTATCATCAAAAACATTCAGTGAGTGATACACAGGCATACATTGTAGTTAGGAACGGGTAATCTATCTTTGCCAGCCGTGAAGTCATGATGGATGTATGCACTGTGACATGATAGATAACCTGATTGATTGGACAGTTTTTGATTGATTGGTTGATTTTTACAGAACCTTCAAGGTCATGCGGTCAGTTAGATATCACTTATCTATTTTTCTGATTTAAATTTCCGTGGATGTGTAAACTGAATCATACTGCGTGTGTTAATAGGTTTAGTAATAATGGTGTCCTCTTGATCGATATATATATATATATATATATATATATATATATATATACAGTATTAAAAACTATGCTGAAGTCTCTGTAGCAACTTTGTTTACAGGGTGGGGTTGCTAGCCTCACACCTGAGAAGGGGATTGTTACATTAAAATGTAGTTTACAGAGAAACGACCTTGTGGGTTGCTCCCCTTAAAACCAGGAAAACAAGGAATAAAGCAATCAGAACAACACCAGGAAAAGGAAAAATAATTCACAACACGAAGGGCAACAGCGACAACAAAAATAGTAAAAAAAACCTAGTAGTAGTATCACAGTCAGATATAGTTAACAAAAATGATATCGAAATCATAGACTCACTGACTTGAGCCAACTTGGACATGTAAATCCATCGATATATACAATTATAGATATTTGTTAGTGTTAGACAGTCACAAAATGGCAAGCAGATAGTTATAGGTATTATCGGTCAACAAGATTATATCCACAGATTCAGTGTTTGAAAGCCAAATAATTACACTGCTTTCCGAAAGTTCCTGGCGAGAAATTCCACAGAAAAAACGTTTTATGTAGTTAGGTATATGTAGCATAATAATCGAAAAAAGCCTCAAGGTCATTTGAGCTGAGCGTCATAAACAGCACCTCAAACAAACTATAGACCCTCATTAGCAGCTGTCTTCGCTCAATACTACTCAAGATGAGATGGCCGGCCAGAAAAGATCAGCAATAGGGATCTATGGCAATGAGCGAACCAACCCTGCAGGAACCGATTGTGGAACAAATATGCTGGAAGAAATGAAGGTGGATTGGCCATACTCTGAGGAAACCTGCAAGTGACATCACACGCCAGGCCATCGCTCGAGTGGAACCCGAAAGGGAAGCGGCCAGTTGGTCGTCATTACAAGGGTGGGGGTGACTTGGAGGAGGTCATGTGAAGAGGAGATGAAAACATGTGAGCAGACTTGGAGCCAGGTGAAAACTCTGTCAGAGAACAGAACTCAATGGAGACTTTTGGCTGAATCTCTATGTTCCTCTAAGAATTAAAGGAAATAATAATAATTAAAAACTATACTAACACACTGGATATAAACTAACTATTAATTCATATGCAATAATAAGGCAGGAGTCACCAACAACAGGAGAAATTAGAAGGAAGTTACTTCTTTCAGTTATCTAGGCAGCATCGTCTCAACTACACGTGGCAGGAATGAAGATATTATCACAGTCAGAGGTGGAAAATTGAGGTAGGCTCTCATTAATCTGAAATCAGTTTATAAATCTACAGACTTTAGAATCAAGAACAAGGCTGTGATTTCCAATACTAATGTCAAGCAAGGCATTGTATCTATAAGACTGTATACTACTGAATGAATTTATACTACTACCGTCAACCAATAGTGCTTGCTAGCCAGCCAGATCGAGGTGATCCTAAACACTAGAGGCTCTTTCTCTCGTTTGGAGTTGAATTTTTATCGGGGATGTCCCGGTTTGCGTCGGTGGCACAGCGGTTAGAACGCTCGCAGACCATGCACATGGTCCGGGGTTAGATTCCCGGCCGACGCACTCCTTTACCTCTCTAAGCCAGAAATAATGATGGTA